TTTATTTGACTTTTCATTTCGGTCGACAAAATGTCCCAAAGAAGTGGTGTTAAGGTATTGAATGAGCGGTGATTTTGTTGCAATCATTTCACACTTTCCTGTGACCTAACATTTGACGATAACTTTTGTTTTATTGCTTTCCCAAAACTACTACCGATTGTATTAAATTGTATTGAAAAAAAAGTTTCACTAATGTTTTGCAAACCATATTTCAGTCACTGTTCAAAGGCGTCCGAAGCAGTAAATTCCGACATGTGTTCGGGTGTGTGGCCAAGAAAGACAAATGTTATGATAACTTGAAAATCACCAAAAATGCTAACGACTCCAACTTCTGTGCCGTCAATCCTAAGGTAACTAACATTTGCCATACACTACAGTGACTACACTCTTGTACTGTACAGTGTCTTCACTTCCAATACTGTACAGACATTGTGTATATCACTGTATAATTAACACCATTTGATACGACCATATGTACAGTGACTACAATGTAGTGTCTGTTTTGATGACAAATTAACGCTTAATTAATAATAATGTGTTTCAGTTTATAGCCGTTTGCACCGAAAGCTCTGGCGGCGGAAGTTTTATCGTCTTTCCTGAAACTAAAGTGAGTCAACCCTTTCTTTACGGAACTTTTGTTATTAACGCTTAATTAATAATAATGTGTTTCAGTTTATAGCCGTTTGCACCGAAAGCTCTGGCGGCGGAAGTTTTATCGTCTTTCCTGAAACTAAAGTGAGTCAACCCTTTCTTTACGGAACTTTTGTTAAACACTTCACTTTTACCAATACTTAAGACTTCTTTCATCTGAATATCACTTAAAACTCTTATAAATAACATCTTATGACAGAGAGAGAGAGAGAGAGAGAGAGAGAGAATTATTTGTAAATTTATAAATAAAACATTAAACAATTGACATTGAATTTGAGCCAAACTTTAAATGTTAACAAATTTTCGGTTGAAATGATATAATTTGTGAATTACTTCTGATATAAAATTAAACGAACGAAATTTTATTCAATGAACTTATATATAGTTTGGACGGATAGAAGTGAACGCGGGTCGGGTTGTGGGCCACAGGGGGCCTATCCTCGACCTGAAGTGGAACCCATTCAATGACAATGTGATCGCCTCGTGTTCGGACGACTGCACAGTTAAAATATGGTATATTCCCGATGAAGGCCTCCAACAGAGGAATCTAAGCGAACCGATAATGGATTTGATTGAACACCAGAGAAGAGTTAGTTTCATTGAATGGCATCCGACGGCCGATAATATTATCCTTTCAACCGGTTTTGATTATTTGGTGATTGTTTGGAATGTAAGCACTGGAACTCCTGTTCGGGTGATCGACTGCCATCCGGATGTAATACACTCGATGTCATTCAATCGGGACGGAAGCCTATTGGCCACTACTTGTAAAGACAAAATACTTCGGATAATTGATCCGCGGAGTGGAGATGTTGTCAATTCCGGTGTCTGTCATCGCGGCTCCAAAGCATCGAGAGTTGTATTTTTGGGCGAAACTGGAAAACTGTTTACAACAGGATTCTCGCGATATAGTGACCGTCAGTGGGCTGTTTGGTCTGAACACGATCTGTCGGATCCGCTCACCATTGAGA